CCCAGCTATAACTCTTGCCCTGCGGTATATACCTATCCCTTTCCATCGCTAAAGTAAACGTAACCGAATTGTGGTCACTATCACCAAAGTGCTCACCTACCTCCAAATCTAACACCTGGCCTGGTTCATTACCCAGTACCAAATCCAATGTGGCCTCGCCTCTTGTTGGCCTATCTACATACTGTGTCAGGAAACCCTCCTGCACACATTGGACAAAAACTGACCCATCTAAAGTACTCGAACTATAGCGTTTCCAGTCAATATTTGGAAAGTTAGCGTTTCCAGTCAATATTTGGAAAGTTAGCGTTTCCAGTCAATATTTGGAAAGTTTCAGCTATAGGGAGAGGCTGAATAGGCTGGGTCTATTTTTTCTGGAGCATCAAAGGCTGAGGGGGAGGGCGGTGGGGGCAGGGACCTTTATACAGTTTTGTAAAATCATGAGGGGCATTGATAACGTGAAAAACCAGGGTGTTTTCCCCAGGGTAGGGGAGTCCAAAACTAGCGGGCATAGGCTTAAGGTGAGAGTGGAAGGATTTACAAGGGACCTGAGGGGCAACTCTATCACACAGAGTAGTGCATGCATGAAACGAGCTGCCAGAAGAAGTGGTTGACACTGGTAAAATAATGATATTTAAAAGGCATCTGGATGGGTACACGAATAGGAAGGGCTCGACGAATATAGGCTGAATGTTGGCAAATGGGACTAGATTTGTTTGGGATATCCGGTTGGCATGGACGATTTGGACTGAAGGGTCAGTTTCTGTCCTGTACATCTCTGACTGGACATGAATGGTACAGGATGAGAAGGCAGTGGACTTGTACAAATAATTCAGCAATACAATCATAAGATGATAATGTGGTGGCTGTGTCCATGCAGAATGTAGGACCCCTTTGAAGCAACGTTTGTTGCCTTGAGAGAAGTTGACAGAAATTCTAAAGTAGCAACAGCATTTATTTTACTGGAGATACTGATTGCAGATGAGATGTCGAATCATTATTGCAGTCCCCAAGCACTGCTCCATTTGCCTTATTTCAGTTGCTAACCACAGCTTACCGAGCAGAAAATAGCCCAAGTTATGACTTCTAAGCAATGCGTGTACCCAGCTGTTTGTCTGTCACAAATGATATGACGGAAATAATCTGTAGTGTAGAAGAGATGGATCGACAGCACTCTGAACAGAAGGTCTAGATTCTGCTACTTAAAGTTCGCTAATATGATTAGAGTGTTACTTTATGATTATAAAATTAAAATACTGTTATAATCTTTATCTGAATCGATTTGTTGGAATAGAGATAATAATCTCTCTATAACTAATTACAGTTCCAACAGTGTGTTGCCACCTTGTGATGATTACAACTGACTGGTACTTGTATATATACGATACAAAGTATTGTGGTTTCAATAATTTCATTCAGTTAGCTGGTTTGTAATTGCATTGCTTGAGATTTTGAGCATGAAAATAAACCATGTTAGTACATCAAAATTAGCTACCTTGCTGTGTCCAGTAAACGTAAGTAAACTTCAATGAAACATTTCTTCCTGTAACTAGGTGCTAAAGATGACTGGCGGCTTGATTCAGCTGGTATAATCCTGGGTGCCTAATTCAGAAAATTGTGATTTCTAATCTCCTATCGGGACTTGATACAGAATCTAACATTTATGAGGATCTTTTCTTTGTCAGATGAGCCATTCAGCCTTAAGGAAAGACCCCAGATTGCCCTTTCTTTTTCTTGGTTTATGCATTTAAGGCAGGAACACATATCTAGTCCACCTTCTGACCTTGACTAATAGCACCATATAAAGAATTAGCTAATCAGAGTATTGTATTTTGGATCTTTTTGTGTGAACAATTGCTGCCGTATTCACCTATATAACAATGGTGACTGCTTGTAAATTGATTTTGTGTAATCGTGAAGCATTGACTTTTCCAAGATTATCTAGAAAGTAAGGTAATCTCAGGTTCTTTCCTAACTATTAACTGTCATCTTAATATCTGTAGCCTGCTTCCAGTAATAAATGAAGATCTTCAGACGCCTCTGTCACTAAGATCAAATTCCTCATCTATGCCTTTGTCAGTACAATTGAGTTTTTGTGTAACCAGTACCATAAGTCAAGTAGTTTATTGGGAAAAAGGTTTTTTTTCCTGTGTTTCCTTTTACATTTTTTAGTGTCAGAGGAGGTTAATTAGCGTATGGATGGTTTGCAATGCAAAATGACACTAACAGCATCAGTTCCATTCCTGCACCAGCTGAGGTTACCATGAAGCATTGTTCTTCACAACATCCTCTCCTTGCCTGAAGGATGGTGACCATCAGGTTAAACCACCACCGGTTGTGTCTCTTTCGTGAGAGAGCAGCCCTATGGTCTTGTAAGACTATGGTGACTTTACCTTTACCTTTATAGGCATGGATTTGTCAATCACAAAGGAATAGCACACACTGACTTTCCAAAAAGTGACTCCCTAAGATTTAACCGCCATAGATCATGAATTTCCTCTCTTTTTATGTGAGTATAAATTTAGTGCCAACTCTGGCATCCTCCAACAAAGATCAGTCAATTAAGTTGAAGATTTCTCGGACTGTAAAGTAGGGATTTTTTTTTTCTCTTTCATGGAATGTGGATATTATCCCTAATTATCCAGAGGGCAAGTAAGAGTCGACAACATTGTTGTGGGTCAGGAATCACATAAGCTAGACCAGGTAGGGACAACAGTTTCCTTCCCTAAAGAGCATTAGTGAATGAGATGGGCCTTTCCAACAATCTACAATAGTTTAGTCTAGCAATAATACCATTAGGGCAAAACCTCACCCTTAGTATTCACAGTATAATTACTATCAAGAAAAAAAAGCAAATCCAGCCTGGGGTATACACATTAAATTATGTTATAAACTGAAAAATCATAAATTTAAAATACTTAAAAACATGCAATTTTCAACTTAACCTCCAGAGGAATAAAACACCGTGCTTGCGAAATAAGTTTCGCAGGAAAAGAAAGGTTGCTTTAAGAGTTAGAATTACTATGCTGTTTAAAAGCTCAATTGCATTTGTAAAACATTTCTCTTCATTTTACACTAAAAAAACAAGCAAATTTGAACTTAACACAGAACCAGTGAATTGGTTGCATCTGTGAAGACTGCAATGGCGTAAACATGGGGAAGCAGGGTATTTCTAATAGCGAATTCCAGCTTTCTATGTTTAATCAATGAAAGCATGCTAGAAATTGCTATTGATTAAACATAATGGTGGCGAATGCTGACAGTTTTGACATTTCACAAATGCAAATGCCAGACCTGTAGGAAGGTATTTGTCTCTTCGCTACTTATCAAAAATAGTGGCTCAGAAAATGTTGCGAGGATTCGCAACTAGATATATTCTAATCTTGTTACTTTGCTACAATCAGGAAGAAATGCACACTGTCATATTGTAAATTCATAATCTTTGAATGCATTAGCTTTTTCACATGGAAACAAATTTTTTTAAAAAACTGACTCAGTATTTTTTTCCAAGGTATTATTAATGTACACTTGCTAAATTAATGTTTCTTATTACATATATAATGTCTGGGTTGAACATGTTTCATGATCCACAGTCCATTGCTAGCTTTGTTCCATCAAATCTCTTAAAACATTTTACTAATCTAGTAGAAAGTTGTTATCTCCTCAAAACTGTCAGATTAAGCAGGTCAGGTGCACTACAAGAAACTACTGTTGGTGCTCCTAAAAAAAATGATTAACTTCTCAAAGAATGACTTTGAATTTGGCACCCAAATTATTATTAGGTCTGTATGAAAGGGAAAAAATGTGGGAACCTCTGCAAAGTGCATTATCAGATTACAGATATCAGAGTGTCGTAACAATGTAAAATATTAATTTGTGCTGAGTCGTATTCAAAATTCAGTCAACATTACTGAATGTTCTTGGCTGGAGGATTTTGATGGGAAGATGTAACTGATGGTAAAACAGTAGGGCAGTGTTAGTTTTCTATCACCAGCCAGGAACATTTTGTGATGTGGACATTTGCCAGAATTGTTGAGTAAGCGTTTTGAACTGTTACTGCTCTTTTTTAGCACTTTATGCATTGGGACTAAAATGGTGATTTTTTTTTTCAGGAGAAATGTTAGGTAGAACCTTGGCATGCTGCTTGCTGTTATTTGAATTGTGCCATGTGATCTTTACCATCCATCTAAACTGCTTGAATGGGCCTTTTTTTTGAGTCTGACATTTTCCAGCAATGCAACATTCTTAGTATTGAACTTGTGTGAGGCTTGTTGAGGTTGTTGGCTTGCTCACCGAGCTGGCTGGTTATTGTACAGACGTTTCGTCACCATGCTAGGTAACATCATCAGTGCAACTTCCGATGAAGCGATGTTGTTCTACTCCACTTGGAATTTATATGATCCGGTCTGTTAAGTTGGGTTGTGTAATTTCTGCTTCTGTTCTGCACGGGTTTGTATACGGGGTCCAATTCCATGTGTTTGCTGATTGCATTTCGGGTTGAGAACCAGGCCTCTAGGAATTCCTGTGCATGTCTGTGGTCGTCTTGAGCTAAGATGGTCACTTTGTCCCAGTTAAATTGATGGCCTCCATTGTCTGAGTGCACTGAGATGAGGGAAAGGTCATCGTGTCGTTTTGCCACTAGCTGGTGTTTGTGTATCCTGAGGGCCAGATTCCTTCCGGTGAGGCCAAAGTAATGTTTCTTGCAGTCATTGCAAAGTATTTTGCAAACTATGTTGGTCCTGGATGTCATGGGTATGGGCTCTTTGGTCCTTGTGAGTGTTTTCGTAGTGTGGCTGTGGGTTTGTGTGTGACCCTGACTCCTAGTGGTCACAGGAGTCTCGTCAGTTTTGGTATGTTCTTGATATAGGGAGTGTGGCCAGTGTATTGGGGTGTACTGTGTCCTCTTGGCATTGTCTATCTAGTAGGCACCTATGGATGAAGTTGTTGGGATATCCGTTGTAAGCAAAGACCTTGTATATGTGCTCTTCCTCCTTCCTGTGTAGTTCTGACTGTGTTGCAGTGAGTTGTGGCCCGTTTGAATAGTGTCCTAACACAGCTTTGTTTGTGGACGTTGGGGTAATTGCTGTGGAAATTTGATGATTTGGTCATTGTGGGTTTGAAATTTCCTGTTGGTTATTCGTTCTACCCTGACATCAAGACATGGAAATTGATTGTTGTCTTCCTCTTCTCTCATAAATTTGATCCCGGTGAAAATATTGTTGATGAGAAGGTGTGCCTCTTCTAACTTGGTGCATTTAACGATGATAAATGTGTTGTCCACATATCGGATCCACGAAATGTCAGCTTTCCTGTTCCTGTGTTGCCTGGCCTGCTGTGTTCCTCCAGCTCCACACTTTGTTACTACCCTAAGAACTGCCTCTTACAGTGCAAACTGACAATTTATGTAATTGAGACTGCCCTTGTCGGCTATAATTTCTGGATCGGCTACTACTGCCCAGCCTGTAGATGTCTCCACAGACAACATCTCTCTCTATCTGTTTATGTCTCTGTCTCATGGTTAAATTTAATTCATATGAGAGATGCTTAAGATATGCCTGGATAGGATTGCTTCAAAAATAAACAAGTTTAGGAAAAGTCTGTTCTGTCATGACCAACTAAGTATAAGTAGCAACTAAACCTAGGACTTCAGTTACATCTTTTAACAACTTAAAACTAGCAGACTACTTGGTAAAGGTTGAAGTTTTTAAAAATGTTCTTGGTAAAATGCTTGAAATTGAGTTTGGCTTTTTTCCAGAAGAGGGTACATCACAATCAAGATTATTCAGATATCGTTATGCTTGCAATAACATGTTGCCCTTTAAACTTTGTCAAATAAGGATTCAGACAATAAAAGATATTGGGTTTATCTCAGCCGTGTTAATTTATGCAAAGAAATCTCAATATTCACCAATTTGTGAGTCAGAGGATATCTTATTTCCTGACCGTATATATCTTATCCGGAAAATCTGTTGGAGAAATATTTGGGCAAGTACAGACTTTTATATAATACAAGTTCGTTCTGACTGTTCTACATCTGAAGTTAACATTAAAATAATACATGAAATTGTAGGTATTGTTCATGTTTGGCATATCAAGACCTTGGTTGTAATTTGCACTTGTTTTTCCAAATAGAACACGTTGCAACAGAGGCAGCAATGGAATGCTGCAATGCTTAAATAGCCCTTAACTAGTGAGTACTGGGAAATTGGAACTGTATCCTTATTGTGAAATTGTGCTTGTTTAAGTAGACGCTTCCCACTGGGTGCTGCACAACAGTCACATATTCCAGACTATTGGCTGTCTGTCGTGTTGTGAGGCAATTGAATAACTTCAAAGCAAAGCAAGCAGAGTAAGCTTTAAATAATTTACTGATTTATATTCCCCATTGATAGTTTCACTGACTTTTTTTAATTGTTCGTTAATGACTTGTAAGCTTTGTTTATCCTTGAAATTTTATGAAGTTATCTTTAGAAACTTGAGAGGCAATGGTAAAGAAAAGTCTAAGTTGAGATCATAATCTGTGACATGGTAATAACCCACCAATTGTTATAACTTCTAGCTTTAAAGTTATATACTTTGTAACTGAAGTATTTATCATTTTTTAAAAAAAGTTATATACACATTGTCCTTGAATGCTCTTGTGTACTCATTTTCTGTAAAAATAGAGCAGTAGCAGACATTTTTTGGTTTGTGCAGGGATTAGCATGTGTTCTATGTGGTTGCTGTATGGTTTGTATTTATATGACTTGTCTACGAGCTGAAAGCCATAAGCTACTTTGTAATTAAATTTACTGGATTTACTTGTATACAATGAATAATAACATTTTTACTATATGAATTTTACAATGTTTTCTTGTTTTGAGTCACACAGCACGGAAACAGACCCTTTGGTTCAACTTGTCCATGTCGACCATGTTCCGAAACTAAACTAGTCCCTTTTGCCTGCATTTCGTCCATATCCCTCTCAATCTTTACTATTTCTGTATCTATCCAGATGCCTTTTAAATGTTGTAATTGTACCATCCTCCACCACTTCCTCTGGTAGCTCATTCCATACACACACCACCCTCTGAATGAAAGCGTTGCCCCTTAGGCCCCTTTTTAAATCTTTCCCCTCTAATCTTAAACCAATGGCCTATAGTTTTGCACTCCCCCACCCCTGGGAAAAGACCTTGTCTATTTACCCTATCCATGACCCTCATGATTTTAAAAATCGCTATATCATCAGCCCTCAGCCTCCAACACTCCAGGGAAAATAGCCCCAGTCTATTCAGCCTCTCCCTACAGCTCAAACTGTCTAGTTTAACAACATCCTTGCGACAGCAGGGCAACTAGAATTGTATTCCAAAAGTGGCTTCACCAATGTATTGTACAGTCGCAATATGATGTCCCAACTCCTATACTCAATGCTCTGACCAATGAAGGCAAGCATGCCTAACACTGCCTTTATCACCCTTACGAGATGCCATGCTGCTTTCAAGGAACTATGAACCTGCACACCTAGGTCCCTCTGTTTGACAGTACTCTCCAGGGCCCTATCATAAACAAGGGCAGGAATTACATAGTTAATCTAAACTAAACTGCATCTGCCACTTTTTGGCCCAGTGGCCTATCTGATCAAGATCTCTTTGTACTCTTAGATTAGCTTGATTACTGATTCTCATTAGACTGTATTGAAATAGTATTAAACATGTTAAAGTATTTTTTTAGAAAGAAAAGGTAACGTTGTGCACATTATTTGTAAACTTAAATTAGCCACAAAAATATTAAAAAGTATGTAAATCATGTTATTTTATCTTAAACTTTTGAAGGGTGTATTCAAAATCAGTGAGTGTTCTTTCCAAATGATGGAGATTTGTTCTGTATCACTTTTTTAATATCATTTGTCTGCAACCAAGAAAGAAGCAATAGTCTGGTTAGTTGAGATAAGTTAAGTATTTCTGGCTTCATGATGTATGGTTCATAACTATCATACTAGTCAATATATTGCTTCTACTATTTTGATCAAACTTGATAAAGTAATCCCTTGCAATACATACGTTGAGATTTGTTGCTGCATTGAACGTAAGCAAGACTGACTAATTTGTTCTATTTGTTTCGACAAATTGCAGAATGACTTCCATGGAAGCTAATAATGCTGACAACATGTTGGCTCTCGGTAGTCTATCCTCTCTCGATGCAAAAAACAGGAAATATTCCCCCATTATACTGGAAGAGGAAGAAAGGAAAACATTAAATGTGAAGAAGATTGCAGTGAAAAAGCTGAAGAAGTGCTGTTCTTGCACCCCAACAAAGGCGAAAGACTTTTTTGTTGATCTCTTTCCTGTTATACGATGGTTTCCAAAATATAAATGGAAAGAATGGATTTTGGGTGATATTATGTCTGGACTGATTGTGGGCATCCTACTTGTCCCTCAGTCAATAGCCTATTCGTTGCTTGCAGGGCAGGAAC